TTGAAACCTCTTGTACACCACTTGCTCAAGTCTCATGATTGTGAGTTGGTGGGTTAGGGTTGTGTAATCCAAACAAACTGGCTATACAATTCTGGTAGGTGACTGTACATATGTTAACTGCCTTGATCAGATGGGTGAGAGGTCACAAAGCAACATGTAGCAACCCTCTTCTAAAGCTCTACATATCTTTTCCATGAGACCATCTCCACCGCAGCTGCTAAACCATGCTGCTAAACCAATTATAGCAGCGCAAGCTCAATTTGGCAGCTCCACCAGCGGTGGGCCGCTACGCTACACTACGCTACACTACGCTACGGGCCCATGTAGCGTTAACGTAGCGGCGCCATTTTTTCTTTTTTTTCGCGTAGTGTTAGCGCGCCGCTGCGCTACGCTAATTCGTAGCGGCGCTAACACTTGCCAATTTTTGGTGTAGTGTTAGCGCGCCTCTGGCGCCGCTACGCTGCGTTACGCTACGCTACAGCGTTTTTAGCGGCAAAAAACACCTAAAAACTGCTGTAGCGCAGCGTAGCGGGCGGTTTTTTGCGCCCTGCGCGCGTAGCGTTAGCGCAGATGGGGGGAATCGCGCTAACGCTACGCTAAACGCTAGCGCAAGTTTTTTCCCCATGCGCGTAGCGTTAGCGCAGAAAATGAGAAAAGCGCTAACGCTACGCTAAATTGTAGCGGTTTTTTGCTACACTACGCTACGCTAACGCTACGGTTAGCGTAGCTGGCCCACCGTTGGCTCCACCAGGGCTGCTTGTTAGATTTATTGTAGAGTAGCAAGATCACAAACTTAACATAGACTAGATTCACACATGTTCCAACCTTATTCATCATCATACTTAACCTAGTTGTAGTTGTTGCGGCAAAGCTCCTGTACTTAGACTAGTTGTGAAGCGTGCCGGGTACCGGATCCTCTCTCTTTCCTCACCGAGATTAACAACGTGTTCCTTTTTGTCAGGTGAGTAGTAATCAAACCAAGATTGGAGTCCAATACCCTCCGCGTACCTGTGCTCACACAACGTGTTCCTTTTTGTCAGGCTTGCACCTTTATACTGCTAAACACTCAAAAATTTTAGCAACCTGCCTCTCGGCTGCTATCCCAATACCAAATATAGAGTCAGGATAGCAGCTCAACCTTGCAAGTATCACAAAGAATCCATGTGATTCTTGCATCCACCCCCTCCCCCATATCCCCCAACACAGCAAGACACCCAATTCACAGACTCAAGTACACTCTCAAAGACTGGTACCAGTCACTAGAAAATGACATGTACATTACATTCTCAGAGACAGTATTGGTCACTATGTACACTCCCAAGGACCAGTATTGGTCACTAGAGAGTGTACACTCTCAAAGACTGATACTGGTCAAAAACAATGGTGTCCTGTTAAGTATTGGTATTGGTCACATGAGAGTCTATACTCTTGAAGACTGATACCAGTTACTGGTCACTAGAGAAGTGACCGGTACCAGTTGCACCAGTCAATCAAGAGTCTACATCTTTTTTAGATAGTACTGGTCAGGATAGTATACACTCTCCATGGTCAGTACTGGTCACTCTAACTTATCACAAGTCCCATCGCTTCGGAGGGCAAGCGGCTAGGCCTAGAGCGCCCGGGCTGCGCGGGCGCCCTCCGAAGGAGGGACTTGTGAATTATCCCTGCAATTTTACTGTATCGGTTTGACCCATTTGGCTGGAGTGTTTCTTCAAAGTCATGTACAGCCTCTCTTGGGCCACCAATTATCACACCAAAGAGGGAAATGATAGATATTTTTATTCTCTTTTTGAATGGCACCAGTCTCATTGCCTCAAGGTCAAAATTGGCCTGATAATGATTTTTTGAAAACATAAAAATTTGAAGAAGCTGTCAAGATGGATAAACAGCATGTCCTCTTTGTCAACAGCCATCACATTGGTGCATGCCCAGCCCCCACCGGGCAACTGCCAGGTCTCCGGGCCCCAATCAAGACCTCGGTAACAGATTCACAACCTGTACAGTCATGTGTACAGGTCACAAGGCGCAAAAAAAAGGTGGAAAGAAAATAAAATAAAATCAGATCCCAGGAGTTCGCAAGCGCAAGCTTTCTGGGAACTGCTGTACAGTTCAGCAATCCTGGTTTTCCCAAAGCCTGTGGCAGCTAGTAGAAATGTGTTGTTTCCTTGCACAAGGCTAACAATCGTATTGACCTGGAGAGTTTTGCAGCTCTGCTTGTATCTCCCAATTCTGCGTTTCTCAATGTGAGTCCTCAGATCATCATTGTTGAGTTCATGAACCTTCTTGGTGACTAATTGGGTTAGGTTTTTTGCTTGATGTCCAACCATTTTCTTGGGAGCTTCAAAGATCGCGAAAGGGAGGTGAGTGGAAGAGTGCTGGGAGGTGCACCGGCTCGTTTCACTTCCTCATTCTATGCACTTATGCTATCCCGACTGCATCTGCAAGGAACTTCAGGATTGGAAGATCTGTCTAACAAAGAAGATCCTGCAGATTGATTTTCAGTCTCATTCTGAAAAAAAGCACCCTTTTCTTGTTTTCTTCTTTCTTAGTTTATTTTTGTAAAATCTGGTTCAGCCAATGGAGGAAAGTGAGTCCATTGATTGTGTGCTCAAGGATCTTGGCTAAAATTCCTAGGAGGCATAATTGCGATAAACACAACAACCAATTTTTAATTTTTTTTTTGTAATTTTGACCCTCAAAAAGCCAAACTTGTACGACAAAAAATGGCTGATAATTCCTAAGCCTCTCCTACGGAGAGTGTCCCGCGGGGACGCAGGGTCCCTTCGGGACCCTCTGTTTGAGAGGCTTTGGTAAGCTAGCCAGTCACTAGAGAAAGAGGACCAACACCGGCCAATATTGAATGCAGTCTTTGCCGCCCCGGGGGGGGGGGACCTTTCACATTCCCTGGTTGCTATTATAGCACATTGTGGTGTGGTACCAACTGGACGCAAGCTGCTAAAAACGCGCCGCCGTTGCCCAACTTCAAGATTTGGCAGCTCGGATAGCAACTTGCGGTGAAGATGGTCTGAACCTTGGACCAGTTCTCAATTTCTCTTTCATCAAGTACATAACAACTTCTGCAGATACCTTTTGCCTGAGGTTTCTGCCCTAAGTATACAACCCTTTACTTCCCCATTAGCTGCTCCTGCCCAGCAACCCGGTGCTTGGTTGTGAACTGCCAACTTATGGCTGGCTGGGTGCGGCAACTCAGAGTCACCTCCCCCAAGGGATCAGGGTAAACTTTTGGTCCTGGTTCCAAGAATGAAGTTGGAATTCACATTGCTTCATCCAGCAAGAAAGTGGCATGGGTTGTAGGATTTAAGTGTGATTTGGGCCTTGTGTTGAATCTCACATATTTATGCTAAAAGACAAAACTCCAGAAATCATACTTTTTGAGTGCATATGACGTGGGATCCAATCATGAAAACGAAAAATTTGAGTCGGTCCAAGATTCCCGGAAAAGACAATATGTGAAACATTTCTGTGGGACTCACAAATCTGGTTGAGCAGTCCTCCACTTCCAGACATGCCTTTGGATCCTTGGTGTTGTCTTCAAAAGTAACACTTTTTGCTGATTGCCCATACCCGCCTGGAGATGTGCTTCTCTCGCGCATCAATGCACATATCGTATTCAGAACCCTGTAAATTCTTCATGTATACATGTCCTTATTTATGCACCTCCAGCCTCCTCATGGTCAACTACACACCTTTCAACAGGCAGCGTGGTGCGGCATTCAAATTTCTATCCTGTATATGGAAATGAGATGATATTCGAGTCATCAAGCCACTGAGGTATGTCTGTATCCGAGCGTGTCAAGCTGCGTCAACCCATCGCTCATTTCGAACGCGGCTCTCCAAAATTCTGTAAACATCTACGAAGAAACCCGTCTGCTTCTTCCAGCTTTGACAGGCAACATCGGATGAACCAATTGCTGAAGATTGTGACTCCCAAAATTGTTTGTACGTATGTATGTGGTATGGCATAGATGATCTTATGTGGCGCTTGTTATTTTCGACCACCCAATCGTATTCGTAGTACATAGGTCATAGGCTTACAGATACATGAATGGCCAAACATTTCCATGGTCGAAGGCCGACCCAGAGAGAGCTCTGAGAGAGAGGTATGAAGGTGGCTTGTTGGATTCCTGAAGGCCACTACATATCATTTTTGGTAAAGTCATTTATGGCACGACTGTGTAAGGGGTGAGGGCCCAGAACTTCGACTGAAGAAAGAAGACCCGAGAGAAAAACATGTCATCGATTAACATGTGGTAGCTGTACATTCGTGGCTTATCGTGGAGCTTCCTAGTACTATAACTCATTTTTGCACAAGGTCCCTTGTTTTTCATACAGTGGAAGACTAGGAACGCCTCATAGATTGGTGTCACCACGGTTCAGCTTGTAAAATTTTTTTGTCGATATCTGAGGAAGATTCATCCATGTGTTGTACGATTCAAATTCCATTGAGCAAGAGGTTCTATTGTCCGATTAGACATAGTGTCATTCAATTTCTTCTTGATTTCTCCTCTGTTGATACTAAGGAGAAAGCACTTCCATCCCATGGCAGTGCATACGTGTATGTACATTTTGGCTCGGAAAAAAGTTAACTTGAACAAGTTGTTTAAATTTTTGTCATACATGCAACAATCCAGAAGAATGAGAAGATCCGCCCGGCACGGGCGAGTGTCATAGTGCACCCTTTTTCCAATCCTCAGAGCCATCTGGGTGTCTGCATACCCCAAAAGCAAACAAGTCAACTAAACAGGAGGCATTCAAAATGTTAGTTTGGTCACGCTTTACCCGTCCCAACTTGTGTCAATCAGACCTGACCCAAATTTAAAATCAAGACTCCTTTGAGCCGACCAGCACTTCCCTCATTATCTTTTCCAAACCCGTTGTTGGCGCACTGCTACGTGCTCTTGTGCTTTGTTGAGATACTCGCATCTACATACCACTTCGGTCTTCTCGTGCTGCAGCGCAAGACACCCTATCAATTTTCCCGACACCACCGTATAGTTATACCTTGCTATCCCCGAATCTAGACCAAACTTTCCCAATTCTTGGCCTGTTTTGTAATTATCCCTTGCACCAGAATCTATGGCATCCGCTGCACGTCAAGCCAACTTCACTGAAGAAAATCTTCAGTATGCAGATGACATCAAACCAACGCTGCAACGTAAGTGACCTCCCATCTACACAGTTATGCTAGGGAATTCCTACCAATCTGTGGCTTGAAGTTTCAGCCCTGCCGAGGCATGGTTTCATGCCTGTAACGCGACATAGAATGGGATCCTGACTTTCAATCAACTCATTCTTCAGCAACAGATTCTAACCCTCAGAGCTTTTTGTACCCTGCGTACCCAGCACTGTCTCCGACGCCAACCAAGCCCGAACCTTCGCCGGTGAAGTACGAAGATATCCAACCTAAGCACGAAGTCAAATACGAACCTCAAGTTGAATATGAGCCTAGCGACAACTATCCTTTCCTAGCCTTCGCTTCCTCAAGCATAACAGCCGCCCCAAGCTCTCCTCCAGTTGAAACTGCATCACCTCATTCGGCACATGGCTCGCATATCACTCCATCATCTGAATCCTTCTCCTGCCCACTGCCAGCGCAAGTGCAATTACCTCCTCTTTTGAGCTCTCGGCCGGAGTATCCGCAATCCACATGGCTCTATCAGCCCACCTATGATCAAAGTCGCAGCCCCACTACGGAGGTATTTTATCAGCGTGAGCGTGGTGATCTTTCCCATTGCCTGCGGCTCAACCACCGAACATCCTCACACGCGCATCGCCTCTCTGGACCGTACGCCACGTATGCCCCCGAGTACGGCTACCCGGCAGCGTCAGATTATCACTCACTAAATGAATTCGGCTATAATGAATGTCGACCAAACACACACAGAATCCTGTATCCGCAAGCCATCTACCCGGGGAATGGCACATCTCCTTATAGTCACCCAGTGCCGCATTCAACCACAGCACCCGACAGACCTTTCGTATGTGAGAAATGCGGAGCCCGCTTCAACCGAAATCACGACCTCAAGCGACACACTCGCATCCACTTGGAAGTTAAACGTGAGCAAATCTTTTTGCCACCTTTCATTACCTTGCTTGAGAAGCGGAAGTTAATAAGAATTTTTCCAACTTAGCCTTTCCATGTGGATGGTGCGAGAAAGCGTTTTCTAGAAAAGATGCTCTCAAACGACACCTCATGGTCATAGCATGTTCAGGCTCTAAGGAAGTTTCGGTGGAAGAAAGCGTGCGCCGAGCCGAGCAAGTGCGTCAAAGAAAGTTCGAGTCGCCTTCTCCATACACGGCGAACACGCCACCAGCTCCATTGTTGGACAAAAAGGCGAATTCACCATGCAATACTAAGCTGGAAAAACCCTTCCATTCGATCAGTCCAACCCCGAAGTCACACCACGGCTCGGCAACAGTTCACAGCCAAGGTCCCCAGAAAATCCATGCTAGTCCAATCCAAGATTCACATTTCCATCATTATGTTGCTCGTGATCGTAAATGTAGTCTCTCCGCCGATAGTGTTTCCACCAATGGGAGTGCAACTACTTGTTCCGCTTAACAAACCTTAACTTTATTACACTTATTTGTACAAATTTCAAATCAACATTGGTAACATAAATGTTTATACTTATCAGTCAACTAGGGCTACGTTCTGCTGCCCGCGAGATGAGAAAGTGCTTCCCTCAGACTTTTCTACCGGCAACTTTTCTGAAGGTAAGATATTCCCGCCGCCGCATTTGTCCACAGTCTGCAGCGATGAGTCAGCATCACGACTGAAAGATATCGTGTGTGTTAGGGTGCCCCCAGACCCTTTAACCGGTCTCCAAAAGCAAGGAGACATCAATCAGAGCTCTTGCTGACACCTTTCGGGGTGATGGGCCGAGCGTTCACTATTAAGATTCCTGAATATTAATCTCGTCTGCTTGTACCGGGTCTCTCTGCTCGCTTTCTGCACCCAATCAAACAGCCTGATTGTCACGGAGCTTAACAAGTCTCTGGCCTGCCAGCAGGCAGAGGCGCAAAGGGAGTGCAAAGCGCGACCTCCCGTCAGTGAGGAACATGCATGGTGAACTGGTAAATTGGATTGAAACCCAAAATGTGCCATGTTACTGAGTGGCCTTAGACAGGCCTTTGGTACCATGGTAATCCTTGGTTTACTCTGGTCATTTTGTCGGTTTCATTTCTCCTGTAAGTCTGATCCTTCAAATTATGAGGTTTTGGAGAAATTTGCCCTGTATTTCCATTCAAAGAGATGCACAAACTGTGGAATCCCTAGGAATCTTATGGAGAAAGCTTACAACACTTACACTGGATATCCCGCACAGGACATCTGGTAAAGTATCAGGGATATCCAGTAGACACAAGTTTTTGTTATGTCAAGTGTTTTCTAACTTGAACATTTTCTGTAACATTTCTACAACATTTCTGTAATCATTTTGGAAATTCTGTGTAACTTCAAATTTTCTGCAACTTTTCTCTAAATTAAATAGAAGCCCTCCTGTTTTGCTTCAGCAACTTCAAGTAAACTTATAGAAAGTTTACAGAAGTTGACAGAAAATTTACAGAAATCAGAAAACAACTTACAGGACAAAAACTGGTGTCTACTGGATGTCCCAGATAATTTACCAGATATCTGGTGCAGATATCTAGTATAGGTTGTAGCAAGGCTACAACAAATACAATACACATTTTGTATGGGCATTAATAAAAAAACCCGCATTTTCCGCGTTTTGACGCGCTTTTGCTGCGCGCAGCACACGCGCATTCCGTGTTTAAACGCGCATTTTTTAATTAATTTATTTTTGCCATTAATTTTAATTTTTTTTGATTTTTTAAAATTGTTTCCTACACTAAAAAACATGTAGAATTTAATGGTAAAGTCCATTTTCCAATAAAATGACTTTTGATTCTTAATTTTTTTTTTCCACTCATTTTTTCCATTAATTGTTTGCATGCATGTATGTACTTTATTTTTTAAGTTTTTTTGAGGTTTTAAAATTATTTCCTAGGTTTTGAAACATGCAGAATTTAATGGAGCAATCCAAGTTCTTTAAAACTCGACGGTTCACTTTGAATACTGAAATTGGACACTTTTTTCACTTAAATTTTTACAGCTTAATTTTCATTCTTTTTTCACTTTTTAAATTTATTTCCCACACTTTAAGAAATGCTCAAAATGATGGTAACAACCATTTTTCCCCAAAATGAAAACTATACCTTGAATGCTGCATTTGATACGTTTTTTTAATTAATTCATCACTTTTTCACTTAATTGTTTGCATACATGTGTGTACCTTATTTATTATGCTTTTTTGAAGTTTTAAAGTTGCTTCCTAAATTTAAAATTGTGTAGAATTTAATGGTAACATCCAATTTTCTTAAAACTCAACGGTTCATTTTTAATACTGAAACTAGACACTTTTTTCAATTAATTCTTTACATGTTATTTCTCAATATTTTTATTTCCCCTACTTTAAGACATGATAAAAATGATGGTAGCAACCATTTTACATAAAAATCAGCGCTTGCTACTGAATACTGTGTTGGACAGGTTTATTTTGATGTTTTTTTGATTGATTTTTACCGGCCTGATTTGAAGCATTTTTTTAAATTTTAAATTCATTTCCTACATTTGAAAATGTGTAGAACTGAATGGTGAAGTCCAATTTCACTAAAAATACAAGCTTCAATCTTAATAGATGAGCGTACCCCGTTTCTTGCATAATTTGTACCATATACAAATTTTATTTCAATGCAAAATGGATACAACCATCAGCTTTAAAACCTATCGAAGTTTAGGAAATGAACTTAAAACTCCACAAAATAAGGATAATTAAGCGTGTAAGAATTGATTAAAGACACAGGTCAAATGCAGTATTCAAGACATAGCTTTCATTTTGATGCAAATTCATTGTTACAATAATTTTAACCATGTCTTGAAGTGTGATAAATATATATAAAAAGTGAAAAAAGAATGAAAATTAAGCTGTAAAAATTTGAGTGAAAAAAGTGTCTAATTTCAGTATTCAAAGTGAACCGTCGAGTTTTAAAAAATTTTGATTGCGCCATTAAATTCTGCATGCTTTAAAACCTAGGAAATAATTTTAAAACCTCAAAAAAACTTAAAAAATAAAGTACATACATGCATGCAAACAATTAAGTGAAAAAGTGAAGAATTAAATAAAAAAAAGGTGTCAAATGCAGTATACAAGATGTAGTTCTCATTTTGGTGCAAAATGATTTTTACCATAAATTTATACATGTCTTAAAGTGTAAGAAAAAAATATAAAATGTCAAAAAAGAATGAAAATTGAGCTCTAAAAATTTAAGTGAAAAAATGAGTGTAATTGCATTATTAAAAATGATCCATTAACTTTTATGAAAATTGGATTTCACCATAAATTTCTACACACTTAATAGTGTAGGAAACAACTTTAAAGTTACACAAAATCTTGAAAAATCAGGTAGAAAACTTAAAGCAAACAATTAACAGAAAAAATGAGTGAAAAAAAAATTAAGAATCAAAAGTCATTTTTATGGAAAATGGTTTTTACCATTAAATTCTACACCTTTTAAAGTGTAGGAAACAACCTTAAAAAATCAAAAAAACTCGAAATTAATGGCAAAAATAAATTAATTAATAAATGCGCGTTTAAACACGGAATGCGCGTGTGCAGCGCGCAGCAAAAGCGCGTCAAAACGCGGAAAATGCGGGTTTTTTTATTAATGCCTTTTTGTATCATGAGGAATTGTACCAACATATATGGCAAAGAGCTAGATTAAATGAATAAGACTCTCAATAGAACCACATTGGTCATGAAAGAAATTACAGCAAGACCATGATAAATGAAAAAATACATACCAATACATTGCAAATGCTGTATTTTTTGCAGTGTTGGTTGTAGTGGCTAGGGGTTAGAATCAAAACAAAATAATCAAGGATTAGAAATATTAAGATTTAAGCCATAGTTGAATATTTGAACAGAAGATGTGCACAAAGTCAGGCTATCATAACAAAAAAAAACAAGCTATGAGATAAAAAAAAATATGTGTACAACTGCTAAATTAGCAAAATCTTGATGCATACAGGCCTCTGCACCTCAGCTACTCAGGCCAAAATGTTGATAGGAATACTCTGTGAGACAGAGTCCCTTTGGGTCTGCCTTATGTCAACAATGGGTCACTACTATAATGGTATTGGTATTGGTATTTTATTGACATTTTTTTCCACTACACTACCTGCAAGGGACTGTTAAATGGTATTAACTTTTTTCATTTTTGAAGGGAGGTGTTATTGTATTTTTAATGGGGGTTCTGGAAATAGAATCAATATTCAAAGGCTCATGAGATGTCTTGGGATGTGACAATAGATGTCTTGGGATGTGACAATGTAAGCCTAAAAAACCTATTTTAGAGAGCCTGGAGGCAGCAAGGGGGAACTATGCTACACAGCACTATACTATTTTCCAATAACAATAGGGGTGGTCCAAACTGGTATTGTAATCTGAAGAATGAGGCCAATAAAATAACAGTTGTTAATTGCATTGCTTTTGTTCAACTAGGAATTCTCATTATTGTTAGCTTCAATACATGGGCAGTACAGTACTGTGTATCAGATTTATTTTGAAAGCAGCTTTACCACTGGCTGTTGGAATATTTCCTAGATTTTAGTCCAAAACAATTCTGATTTTCTGAGAAGACAATGGTTTTCAGAGTTGTAGAGTTGATCAGAATTCCAAGTTCAGATTCTGAACCAGAGCCACTGGAATATCCTGGTGCTCCCTGTGAGACTCCCCATGCTGCAATTTTCTCACAAGGCGCAACAGCTCAGATTACATAAGCTCAGCAGCCACAACTACATTTAGTAGTGGGCATTTCCCATTTCCTAGCTTGGTAGCAATTCTTCCCTCTCTGCTACCAATTCTAGATGAGTCCTCTCCTTTCTTGCTCTCATTCATCTATGGTTCTAGCCCTTATCTCGTAGTTGATCACTGATCAAGTCTTCCTTTTCTACTACCAGTGCTATCAATGAACACCTGGTACTAGAAATTGCTAAGCTCCTTGCTTTTCTAGTGCCTTGAAATATGGATAGTGAAGGGTTCACATAGCCCTTACACTTGCCCCTTTTGTGATTGGTGTCTGTCCTCTGCTACCAAATTACAATGCATGTGCCAACTTTCTCTGAGCCATTGCATCTGATGAGAGGGGATATGGGAGCTGTGTGATTGTATCAGAGGACAAAACTGCATAATCCCCAAGCTTAACTAGACCTACACAGGGAAAGCAGAAGCAAGCAGCAGAGCTGTCCATACCAGTGGAGGCCTAGGCCCAATGTTGCGATCCCCACATGGTGAGTTTTAAAAATTGGGCTGAAAACTCACTTTTTTGTGTGTTTTACTCTCTCACCGCTTCCTCATTTGCATCTATGTGATTTCCTTCTGGGACTGGGGAGGCCTTTGTCTTGTCCGTATTTTCCTGCACTCTTTTCTTTTTGTTCTCAAATAATTTACAGTTATTTTTCCAAAAGGTCGACTTTTCAACTCAATTTGAATTCTTTTGATGTGCATAAGTTGGAAAAAACCTGTGTTTTAGTACAAAAAAAGTTCACTCATTGATTTTATAAAGGGACTCGGAAAAACGACTCCCGTTTTTTTGCCAACGACTCCCAACAACCGTCAGCGGACGTCCGTTGGGAGTCGTCTTCTAAGGTGTGGGCGGATTCTGGGAGTCGTCCGCCCAATTTCAATTTCAATTTTTTTATTTTTTTCATTTATTTTTTTGGGAGTCGACTCCCCAAACCACCCCTCATGTATGAGGGAGTTTGGGAGTCGCTCCCTCCCACTTGACCGGAAGGAACCCCTTCCGGTCAATGAGGTTTAGCTTCCTCATCGACCGGAGGAGAGTCCTTCCGGTCGATGAAGCCCTCGCTTCGAACCCCCCAACCTCATCGACTGGAAGGGATTCCTTCCGGTCGATGAGGCACCCCTTCCTCATCGACCGGAAGGACTCTCCTTTGGTCAATGAGGAAGCTAAACCTCATCAACCGGAAGGAATTCCTTCCGGTTGATGAGTTCAATCTTCCTCATCAACCGGAAGGGATGCCTTCCGGTCAATGAGGGATATCTCCCTCATCGACCGGAAGGAATCCCTTCCAGTCAATGAGGTTTAGCTTCCTCACTGACCGGAAGGGGTTCCTTCCGGTCAAATGGGAGCGACTCCCAAACCCCCTCACACATGAGGGGTGGTTTGGGGAGTCGACTCCCAAAAAAAAAAAAATGAAAAAAATAAAAAAAAAATGAAATTGAAATTGGGCGGACGACTCCCAGAATCCGCCCGCACTTTAGAAGACGACTCCCAACGGACGTCCGCTGACGGTCGTTGGGAGTCTTTGGCGAAAAAACGGGAGTCGTTTTTCCCAAGCCCTTTATAAAACCATTAAAAATTATGGTTGTGATTTCTAACTTCTGGGCTTTGGCTGGATCAATAGGATCATGTAGCTCTTCAAGAATTCTGGACCAAAGATAATCAAAATTTTGAGGGAACAATGTGATTCAACTATGAATGTTGCTTCCACCCAAAGACTAGTATGGCTTTGTGTTGGAATTTTGCCTCTTTTCTTCTCATCCCCCAAAAGCCCATCTATCTCACCTTTAAGATAATCATGATTAGATAAATAATACATATGATTTTTACATTGTTTTTGATGGTTTCTGAGTGGTATCTTGTTGATCATGTTGCCTAGTGCCAAAATCCTTGTAGTCTTCAAACCCTGGTCTAGTCTATATCAAATTTCATTTACTCCATTCATCCTTTCAAGCATATGTTAATTTTTATTATTCATTTTGATATTCAATTTTTTCTCAAAACCATGCACAGATTGAACGGTAGTAACGTGTAGGCTCTACTAGCAAATAAAAACCATTGGCTCTCTCTCCCATTTTTTTTGAGCCTTGAGCCACTCCAACAAAACCTGTTTTTTGTTAACCAAAATTAAGTCTTTTCTCAAATATTTTCCCCATTTTTGGTCTAAATTTCTCCATGTTGCAAGCCTGTCTGGGCACATACCAAAGTTTGGCCAAAAAAAGGCCAAGTGCACTCCCCGCTTGGCACATGCCAAAGTTGGTGGGGGTCAGGACAAAGCCTTGCTTGGCCAAAATCAAGCAAGGCTGCCACACCGACCAAACGTTGATGCACCCCCTCACCTTAACTCAAGGGGTGCATTGACCATGTACTTTCCTTGTCTCTCTTCACACATTGATTGTGAGGGGGGGGGGGGACATTCTACATTAACACTTTCCTAGTTAGCTACTCTTGTAATGTTGGCCGATATTGTAATGAGTTGTGTTAATTTGGTGTTTTATCCAGAGCTGTCAAGTTGGAGTTGATGGCTGATGATCCTCTTGGCCAAGAGGTTGAAATGGTCCCAGCAGGACTTGGCAATTTGCCAAGTCCCACCCCCAACCAACCTGCATGATCAAGCCCTGTGGGCACATTCCAAACCCCGGGTGGCACTCAGCCAAGCGGGACTTTGGATTGTGCCCAGACACGCTTGCAAGACTATAACTCATCACACAAGTTGGTCAACATGAGGCTCAAATCTCCCCTGCAGGGAGTTCTGTTCAGGAAATACCTGGCCAGCGCTACACTTCCAGATCCACCCAGCAAAGACAAGACTAGTGCCAAGTTGGAAAAAATCCAAGTGGTGAGAGATTGAGAGTTTCAATTGTAAATCCAAAAAAAGTTGAATTAGTCCAGGTCTGGTCCAAGATTATCTCAGGGTGCTTGCAAAAGTAGGTTTCAAATTCAGGTATGTGCTGGCCCCCATTTTTGAGAACTTTGAGGAACCGGGTGTGCCCACTTTGGCACATCCAACCCTGTGGCAGCAATTTAGAAATCCTCATGTGCCAGACAGTAGGCAGTTGGTTGAAGAGAATGTGCTGTTTAGCTGCCAGCTTTGTTGTAGCAAAGATTGGCTGCTATGCTACCCTGTGCTTTTTGCCCAGAATTTTAGCATAGCATCACTGTTTTTGTGTGGAAATTTTGTAGTGTTAGTGCATTGTTAGTGGATTTTTACCAATGGTACACTGCACTGCAGGCTGCAAATGGCGCAACAGGGTAACCAGTGCATTAGTGCAGCACACCAGGCACATTTTGGGGCCTTGCACACATAGAGTTAGCACGGACACTGTGGAATTCCACTTTCCATCACCTGTCTATTGAGGGGCTTGTCAAGGTCCTCTCTTGGCATAGCACTGCAGCTAACACTTGTCCACCATGAGCACCCTCACCACAGACAGTTGATACTGATTTTAGATGGGAAAGAACACAAAGATGGACCCTCACCACAGACAGTTGATACTGATTTTAGATGGGAAAGAACACAAAGATGGAATTGTGTATATATGTAAGTTTATATATATATATGTGTGTGGAAATATGAAAAGGGAATATTATATGTATATCAAATTCAAAAAATGTATTCATGTTTTATTTATTTTATGGTAAAAAGAAATCAGAAGATGTATGTAGTGGATGATGACAAAGAAGAAGTCAAAAAAAAAGGAATGAAAAAAAGGAAAAGGTGTGTGAAAGAAGAAGTTATATATATATATGAGATAAGTCATGATAGCTGTTTGTTTTTGATTTTGGAAGTCCTACAAAAACAATCAAACTCAACAAACCCTCACAAAAGAAACACACACGCAGACAAGGAAAGGGACCAACAAAAAGCAGAACATTGATGTAAAAGAAAATTAAAATGAGATAGATAGGAAAAAGGAGGAGATTAAGTGGGAAAACAAGCAGGAAAGAATTGATTGATGAAGATGTCCCCCAAGAATCACCATCTTCCCATCAGTCCAGTCTGACCAGTTCCTACAACTGTTCCAGGATTAGCAGTTGCATGATGATAGAAATTTTGCCCAGCTGGTTGCTGCTGTTGTTGTTGCTGTTGTTGTTGCTGTTGTTGCTGTTGTTGTTGTTGTTGCTGCTGCTGCTGTTGGAGTCGAGCGCCTATAGTTCCAGTGCCCACGTTTTGGTTATGAAGAGCGGCTTGGAAACCGAACTGGGTCTGGATCGGGTTATCATTGGCTTGAGTGGGTGGACGATAACCGGCTCCGGGGTTAGCGCGAGCAAGGAGATGATTGAAACCAGCGTTGGCAAGAGAGAATGGGGCATGGATTTCGTTGAGAGCGGGGTGTGAGGCTTGATCCGGGCCCGGGGGAAGGGCGAGGAAGGCTTGGGGGTTGTTAGCTTGGGGGTTGTTGGCCATGCGGATGTTGACGATAGCAGGGTCGTTGAACTCCGAGCCTAGATCAGCGGCAGCGGTCTGACCGTAGGGCCCAAAACCGGCCCCGGCAAGATCCATTCTGCGCTCCCTTGTCCCATGTACGCCCCCGTTAATGTGCTGCTCGTGGTGGCCCGGCGCATGCATGTGACCGAACGAAGTCGGACTCAGCGCCGCTTGCCGGTTGATGAACGCCAATCTCTCGTTCACCCGGTTGTGTCCGTCCCGTCCATGCACCCCTGAGAGATGTTGCTGGAACGAGCCCACTTGACCATCGATTGATTGCAGGCCTACGTTCCCTCCTGCTCCAGGTGACCGAACCCCCCTAGCAATAGCCGCCGGAAGCGCGTTTGCGGAGTACGAGGCCGCAAGGTTGACACCTGGGAACAGTACCGAAGCATCTGGCGTGCTATCACCGGCTGGATTATTTCCAAGATGAGTAGCCAAGTCTTGCGGACGTGTGGATCCCATCGGCGCCGCTCTCCCGAGTCGTTGGAGCTGATTATGTAGCGCTTTCGGACTCTCAGGTTCATTATTCTGGTGCGAGAAGATGCTTCGAAGGGGCGAAGATGCCATCCCTGGTGGTACGAAGACCGAGCCAGATGAATCTCGTCGAGCAAATCCAAACCGGGAGCCTCGCCGATCGTTCAGTGAGCTTTCGGCGCGTGGAGTCGAGGTATCTGCTTGTATACCAAACAACGATCCCTCATCCTTTGTCGATGGAAAGTCAGTGTCTGCAAATGGATTGAATGTTCCAGAATAACCTGACGGTCCGAAAGATCTTGAAGAGTCGAATGGGCCATCATTACTATTGGCGAAGATCGAGAGCCGAGAATCACCAAAGTTGGGCGAGAAAGTTGATAATACATTAGCAAGATCGTCTGACAGAGGATCGACCCAAGATTTCTCTGCCCGTTTCAGATCGAGTGAGCCTAGGGGATCAAATGAGTTTTGCCACGAATTCGAGCTTGAGTCGTTTGTTGAATTGGATGGAAGTGTCAAGCCAGGAGGTAACGAGGGTGTCGATCGATTAGCATGGTCCATGGCCTGTGGGGTCAAACCTGGGGGGAGTAAGCCTGGTGGATGAGAGCTGCTCGACATGACATTATTAGAAGGAGTTTGAGACGCGACATTCGATGTACTGGGTCCGGAACCAGAGGGTATGGATGCACTGGGATCTGATGATACTCGCTCCAAGATTTGCTCCTTTTGTTGGGTAGCAATCGATTGGGGGACTTGCGATGAGGGTTTCCCTTGGTTAGAGTTAGCTGTTGTGGCTTCACTATTCTTATTTAAGGTCATATGGCCAGATGGATCGACAGGGCGGGGATTGACATCTTCAGAAGAACTGCTCGGCCGGGGTTTGGGAGGGAGTGGATGTGTTGATTTTGACAATGGAATACCAGGAGGTTTGGAAAATGGACGTGAAACCGAGTTGCCATTGGGGGTTCCAGGATGAAGGGCGAGAGGGTGAGCTGGGGCTGGGGCTGGAGAGGCTGGCTGACTGATCGAGGCCGACTTGGTCGCCCAGGATGCTGTAGCAGGTAATGCAACACCAGATGAGTTGGGATGAGCCGAGTTTGAGGTGGAAGCGTGTGTTGGGTGATGAAGGTTGGCCCTGGAAGGATAGCGACTTTCACTTTCTTTCTGAGCATGCCGACTGTAGGATTAAAGTATGTAAGATTCGAGTCTATAAGGTAGCAGGGACAAAAGAAAATGGAAAATAGACGAAGGAGAGGATGATATCATACGCGGTGGACATTTCTTCTCTGGCGGCCGTACCACCTCCTTCGACCTCCTCTGCCAATTCATGAGCGCCCGTGCAGTTATCGTTTGTACATTTAAGACCCCTCAAGAAGGATGCGCAATATTTAGTGCTACCCAGAGTAGCTTTCAAGCGATGTCCATCGGGTAGAGTCAGACCATCTACACCATGAATACAGGCCAGAGCCTCATTATTCCGGGAGAAGTTGATGTAGAGGTTCACGTGCTGGTATCTTGCATCTGGGGTGAAGAGGCTCGTAGATCCCGTCCGCCTGGACATGAACATCTTCTGGATTCGACCGTATTGAGAAAACAGATCGCTTGTTTTTAACTGAGCCAGGGTCTGTATTTCCAGAAAAAGGGAAAACGAGAGCTTCTTCAGCCTGAGAACAAATGGCTATCTCCCGATCGAAAATAAACAGCTCACGTCTTCGTTAGCGACCTTAGTAGTCAGCCCCTGGACATGGACTTGATTCTTCTGCTTGACTCTAACATTTGCCAGATGCTTTCGATTGACCAACTCTTGATCTTTACGTTCCTTCTCGCGCTGTTTCTTAGCCTGTTGTAATCGTTTCAATCTAAGGAAGGGGTAGACCAAATGCAAGCGGTAAGCCAGGGTAGCGGTAAGCTGAGGATGATCGACTGATGCATTTACTCCTCAGGTTTCATCGGCTTGAACTCGACCACGCTATCATCATATTCCTTACGACAGCCGGGACATCTTCGGTTGAGATCTTCCTTGATATGATGCCAGCAGAACCTACAGATCTTTGTGGATAGAATGGAAAAGTGGTGTTAAATGAGAAGATGATAATCAGAGAACTGATGGGAAGCAGTAACTTACTCGATAACCACATGGACAGGGCCGAAAGTTGAGATCAGAGATATCCAATTCTTCCATACAGAGGGGACAGAGGTCTTCATCCTGGACGAAAAAGACAAGGGTTAGAGGGACGATTCTCTGCTCAGACGATCAAGAAACAGTGAGTATTGGTCTATGTACCTCAGTTTCGAATGGCTGATCGACCTCTGGCCAGTCGCTTGAGCCATCGTTCTTGACCATCTAGGTATGTAAGATATTATTACTTTGATGTTTTGATAAGTTTCCTTTTTTTTTTTCTTTTCTTTTGTGTTGTGAGATGGTTTGACGATGACCGTTGCTCGAAGTAGTCAACAGCTGGGTTGGAGGGCAGTGATGGATGGTGTGATAACGATTGATGATGTGATGATATGAGTGGCAGAATGTGTATTATATCCAGATAAAACTGGTTCAAATAGATTATCTCTTGATATCTGACCCGAGACTTTATTACGTAATCACACTCACCATATAGGACAGTTCCAAATCCTTCGGTTACCACTGGCACTAACGAGACCCACCAACAGTTTCAAAGCCAACAAAGGTATTATTCACCACACTTCCACCTCGATACAACAGACAGCGCTATCGTTGATAGGCTTGGAAAAGACCTCTGTTATGTACAAGGAAATACACCTTGGGGCGGTTCAGCTCAAACAGCAAGGTTTTTACGTGCCACACACGTTCAAACAAACAAGTGCTTCGGAGAGTGTGTGGTGAAGATGATCAGGAGGTGACGACATTGCCCATCCTCGAACAGACTGGACATGATCAAGGAGGCCAGGATGAGAGCGGGGCAGCGGCGCAGACGGGCTCGTCAGGAATGAAACATTTCTCGGTTAGAATTCTTGGCATCAGAAAACTAACTAGGGATTGTTAAGAATGGCCTGCATACTAACCAACAAAGGTTCTAGATGTGTAAGGGGAAAATGAAAACATTCCAGCCAAGTCGATTGACAGTTTCTCCACTAGGTGCCACTTGACTAGCTTCCAAGTACTGAAACTAATCAATTGCACACCCTGGTCTGGCATATCCACAAGGAGGGGGCCGGGGGGGGGACCTTGGAAGAAATAATCTAAAGGAAAGAATGAAATTACCCAACCCAACTTGCCAAGGTATGTACCATTGGTCCGCTTAGAATATTTTGGACTACGGCTATATTCAAAGTTGACCCATCAACGATAAAATGATGAAAGACTTTTGGCTAGGACCTGTGCACATGTCCCATTTCCAGCCAAAATGATTTCAATGTTCATGTTTATGCAATTATGCAGTTAAATTTGAACGCTATTACTGCTGTTGAAATACATACCAAAAAATGCCAGACTGCCCTCAACATGGGGTTGTCCCCCATGCCAAAAACGACCTTCCTGAGATAATATTCATAAACAAAACCCCCAGATGAAATGTTAAGTGCTTTGTTGTTTTGACTAGACTTCAGCTTTGTTTTTTTTTTCTCCAAGACCTCAGCATTCTTCTTTTTTTTTCTCACACCGGTGTTGTGATTGGGCCCTGCAAGCTATATTGATTATGGCTATGCCTCAGCATATCAAAAGATTCATCAGATTTTGTCATCCTCCAGCACAATCAAGTTGAAGTAGAGGCCTCATACACCCATGTTTGAGGAAATGTGGACAGGAGTTTCCAAATATTCAGACAAAAAAGCCACATCAATGCTAAATTTGATCAAATTTTCTTATAGATGAGCAACAACCTCCAGGGAATTTGACCAACTCGAATCTCAAAAAAAAAACTCCCACAGCCTGAAATTCAATACCAGGGACCCCCGGTGGCCTGGCTTATACAGAAAGGTGTCTGATGCAACTGTATTTTCCACTCCCAGGTAGGATACATGATGCATCTTATCACTACATTCATACCAAAAAATGTTTTGGTTTTTGAAGTTTCTTGATTCAAACCTTGAGCCAAATGATCAATCAAAATTTGACAAACCCTTTGACTGATATCCCTTCAATTTCTGATTTGAATAACCAAATTGGGAGAGGGAATTTCAAAAATTAGCTGAGTCATTTCTTCTTGTAGCAAAACTAATTTTTTTCAAAAAAAAAAAAAAACACTCAGTACCTAAAGGTGATTCAAAGCTGAGTAGAGTGATGGTGGAATTTCTTACAGGATTTAGGACTGAACCACTTTGGTTTGTTGGCCAAAGTATGCATCTTGAGACCCTCTCAATTCCATCTTGCCAAAGATATCTCTCTGTCAATTGATCAGCTCAAAAATAAATTCTGATTTTTGATAGCTGTTGGAATTTCACAGTCCTTTCATCGCTTTTCCTCTTTCATCTCTTCTCATGTAACTCCCTTCACCTGTCACTCTTTTTCTTTCCCTCCAGTCACATATTCATTTCTCCTTCTGTCCCACAACCTGGCCTCTCACAGTTGTGATAGATAATCTAGATTATGAAGTTAGAAATGCAAATCATCTGTCTTCTGCGCTATTTCCCTGAGTTCACTGTGGGATACAACCTCTGGTAGTGTGTGTGCTTTTCCACCATGCAAGCTAGAAGACTCTTTTGAGCTCTTCAACCTCTTTTTTATGACTCTAAGTATTTTGCCTTGAGTCCTTGTTTGGTCACTTCCCATCTTCTCTCTGGTCTGTTTGTGAAGATCTCATCAGTAGCTGATACTATGAATATAGTATATCAGCTTCCCAGGGAGGATAATCTTTTATCAATGATTTAATCTACCTATCCATCAGGAAATTGTTCCAGAATCTATTTTTTAGAGAAAAAAAATACTCCAATCAGTTGTACTGCAGTGGGTGGACTGTTATTTTTTTTCTCCTTTTTATGGACTCCAGAGCTTCAAAGCACAAAGTTGAAGTCACAAGAATTTGCCAAGTGGTGCATAATAGGTCCCAAAAAAACTATTGTGGATAAATCAAAACAAAATACAAATTTTCCAAATTTGTGAAAAGAAGGTTTTTTTTTTCAAAAGCTTTGATAGTCATTTTAGGGCAGTGGGAGTTCTGAGACATAAAGAAAGAGTGGAACATGGAATGAATGATTTGCAATTAAAGAAAAAATTGAGCCCAAAAAAGGGTGAGCCAGGTTGGTTGTCTAGATTAGAGTCAAAACAGTAAATTCTTGTGCTTCACTATAAAGTGGCCCAGTGCATTCCCCACTCAACAGCTTTTTATAAAAACCATCAGGTAACATTTTTTTTTTCCAAAATTTTCATTTGTAATCATTCTTCTAAAATTGCATTCTTTAATCTTTCTCTCAGATCTCCCACTTCCCCAAAATGAATATCATATTTTTTTCATCAATTTTACAACTTTGTTTTTGTATTTTTCCAACTTTTGATTTTTTGGGACCTCTTATATTGCACCACTTGACCAAGCCTTGTGAGTTGAATATTGTGCTTTGAAGCTCTGAAATCCAAATCAAGCAGCCAAAAATAACGGTCCACCCACTGTAATTTTCTCACTAAATTGTACTCTCAGGCCTTTTTTTTAAAAAAAAATCATTCAGATACAAGCCACTAAGAATCAAGCAATTGGAGGGCATCCCTTTGATTTTCAATGTCTCTGTGAAGCCATAATTACCGGCTTTCAAACTATTTTCACCGAGAAAGTTTGGCTTGACAGCCTGTAAATCTAGCTTTCCAGAGGCTGTAAAACCAAAGGAGAAGTCCTCCATGTGTGGGATCTCCTAAACCAATTCATATTAGGGGGGTTCACTTAACAGAATGTTTTTGCTTCTTGCATGGCTAAAAAAATCCTTCTTGGCTTTAATCTTTAGCATAAAGTATGTAATTAAAATTGTGCCTTGACAACTCAACTTAGCTTTGACTAGAGATTGATGAGATGGTGTTAGTACAGCAAAGCATAGTTGGAACATATGTTGGATCGTTCACTCATGGATCCCATCAGCAGTGGGCCGCTACGCTTTTGGCCCCAAAAGCGTAGCGTAGCAGCACTTTTTTTGCGCCAAAAAATTGTAGTGTTAGCGTTTTTTTGAGCGGACTTTCACTATGCTACGCTGTGCTACAGGCCCCTAACAGCGCTACAGGGCCAAAAAACCGCTAACCAGTGTGTTAGCGTAGTGTAGTGGGCCCTTTTTTGGGGCCTATGCGCCTAGTGTTAGTGCAGATGTGGCAGCATTCTGCTACACTACGCTAAACTTTACCGGAATTCCGCTACACAAACACTATGGTTAGTGTAACTGGCCCACTGTTGATCCTGTGATGTGAGGTGTAAATGATTTTGATCTGAGTACATGGTCAGATGCTTTTTGCAACCATCGAAATAATTTATGGCGAGAAGCTGTTGTGACCCCCCCCCCCTCCATTGGAGTTAGCTGGTCAATCTACCTGAAAAGAAATCACATGGCATGACTTGTGGTTATTGAATCTTGGGGATTTCCATTGGATTTAGCTGGTCAATCTACCTGAAAAGAATGACTTGTGGTTATTGAATCTTGGGGGATTTTCAGTCTCAGAAAAGGTTCAAAAATATTTGTTTATTGGTTGAACATTTCCTTGTTTTTTGGATTTTTTGTATCTTATCAATAATCAAGGGTCTTCTTGGGCCGGTAGGTTGGTTATCTTTAATCTTATAAGGAAATCAACTGATCGTTTGAAATGTGATGGTTCTTCTTCTTTCTTACCTTTCAAAGCAACATTACTTCTGAAGGCAGTTTTAGATCGACCAAGTTCTTTATAATTTTCTTAGCCATATAAAGAATGAATCGTTTGGTTACTGGGATGTCATACTTCGTGGATCGTTCAATCGATGATTTTTACTTTGTTGGTCAGTTCCCGGCCGTTTGAAGGATGATCAAATTTCCAGATTTGAAGTGTTGAAGCTGATAAAGGCTGGTGTGATTATGTAAGCGAGACACACCGACTTGGCAACAAGCCAAATTGCAACCCACCAGTACCACCGCCACCACAACCACCACAACCACCACGCCCCCAAACGAAAACCAAGGTGAGTCAAATGAGTTACCTCGTAGCAGCAGACTTACAAAAATAGGATGCTGACCAGCTTGAATATGGCCCATGAAACAGCTGAACGAACGAAACCCAGGGCTCTGATCAGAATTAATTAAATATAATATCGGCGGACTCCAGCTCACGACCGATAGCCACTCGACCGATTCCTACAACTGAACCCATATAAAGATAACAGCAGCCAGAAGCCAATCAGATTGATACGATGTCCCACCCATCCGGACACCGAGCAAACCTACTCAACCTCCGTTTCGCTAACAACACCAACCGAGCAACCTCCAACGATAACGACCACCATCGATCAAACAACCCATCCAGCCAACCACTCTCCCCATCCAGAGTCTCCTCACCCTCCTCATCCGCATCCTCCTCATCTCCCAACTACACCGACTTCATCCAGGACCATTATGGCTATCAGCACCAGCAACTATCACCACCACCACCACCACAGCAGTCAACTTCCACTCAACCCCACTCGACTCTGAACAAACGGCCTGCTCAACTCGATATCGCAACCTACGTCAGCTCAATCAGACCACCACTCTCCCCCGTCGATCAAGGAAACTCAGCCTGCTCACCTTCCTCGGATAGATTCAGATCCTCCTCCACCGGCTCAATCCATCAGCATCCACCCTCTCCTGTCGGTCTTCACAAGCGTCATAGCAAGAGCATCCACTCAAAACCTCAGATCTCTCCCTCCAGCCATCCTCCACCCCCAATCATCTTCGACCCAAGCATCCCCACAAGCTCAAACTCCAACCTGCTCTCCCTCTCATCAAACAACATCTCTGAGGAATTCATCAACCTCGACCATCACTCTCAAGCCATGTCAGCTTCACCACCACCTCAAGATTCATCCTCAAAAACTCATACTCCCCACCACCCATCAAATCTTGCTTCCAATCATCACCAACCAGCTTCCAATTCACTCAGCCTAACCGTGAATCCTGAAAACCACCTGGCCCGAAATCAGAAGGCGCAGTCCTATCAGCCAAACGATGATCTCGCCTTCTCCTCATCCCCCACGCTCGCCCAGGCCCTTGCCAGCTCACTCACACCTGCCTCTGTAATTGCACCAGCAGCAAGCTCACAATCCCGCCAAACACATGACCGCTCCTCAAACCACAGCTCTTCAGATTCACCCTTCAGCAGAATCTCCAACTCAAACGAACACTCCGTCTCTCCCAAAGCCCGTCCAAAGGCCTCTCTTGTCAAAAGATCCACCCTCAGAACGGCCACCAATTTACTGAGGAACGCCAGTCGGAGGGTCGTCAACCTCTCGGGCACAGAACAGATCGAAGACCTCCCTCGTCCCCCTCAGCCTCAGCATCAACGCCGCCGACCCCGCTCAAACACCGACCAATCTAATGTCAGCATCGAGTTGGACTATACCGGCCTGTCGAGGCCAACTAATACTCGTCCGGCTCAGCCAAGGTTTAGCGACAGTGAGGAGGACGAGGGCTCACCTTCGAACACCAACCGGAACTCTCTCAAGAGACTCTCTCTCAGCAGCACCATTCCGCTCCAACTCAAGGGCAAAACCCTCGGCCTCTTCGGCCCACGACATCCCATCCGTCTCGGCCTCTTTCGCCTCTTCCACTCCGGCCACATCGACCCACTCATCTTCCTTCTCATCATCCTAGACGCCGTCGTCCTCACCATCCAATCCTCTAAGAGCGTCTGGGATTTCCCTCGACCTACGAAAGGCTATTTTCATACCTGGGAGGATTGGGCTCTCTTCATCCTCTTTTGCATCTTTACGTACGTCCATGATTCCAAGCTCACTTTGCATATCGGGTAACCGTCGCTGAAAAAAAGAAAGGGGGCGGGGGGGATCGGTTTTTGCTTGTGTAGAGTTGAATCTGTAGCTCGGATCATTGTTTCTGGTTTGGCGTTTAACTCGATCTCCTGGCTGGATACGAGCTCAGGAGCGATCAAGGCCCGAGGTAAAGGATTGTTGAACCGGAAAGACCGATCGGTGAATCATCTTCCGATTCGGACCTCTGACCAGATGGACACGGGCTGGCCGGGGAGCCAATACTTGCAAGGCTCATCGATACCGATCGACGAGTCATCGAAGGAGGTGTTAAGTTTCAGTCCGCAGACGCCATTCACGACGCTCGACGGCGGCTATCCATCGCCGTACGGTTCGGCGAGCGCCAAATTACCATTGACCCATCCCTCTCCGAGCTTCTCGTGTGGATCCGCCGGGATACCTCCGTCGGCAAAACGGCTCGAGCCCACCCGGAAAGACTCCTTCCCGATCTCCATCCTTCATTCTAAACCCCTCTTCTCCCAACAAGCCGCTCCCTTCCACTCCGGCATCCAACGTCAACAACGTCAGCTCATCAAACAGACCGCCTATCTCAGACAGTCTTGGAATCGGATGGATTTCATCGCCGTTGTCTGTTTCTGGATCTCATTCTTCCTCGCTACTTCTGGCATCGAGGCCGCTAAACAGATCTACCTCTTCCGAGCCCTTAGTGTACTCAGATTGATGCGTCTCCTTACTGTTACCTCTGGTACCACCGTAAGCCTTTCATTTCCGACACTTCTTTTTTTTTCGTCCCCTCTGGAGATTCATCATTCTGTTCATTTTCCTCGGTCCTTAACCACAGAGAATCCTGAACTCCCTCAAACGCGCCTCGCCCTTACTCGTCAACGTCGTCTTCTTCATCTTCTTTGCCGCTGCTTTGTTTAGTATCGTAGGTGTCCAGAGTTTCAAAGGCTCCTTTGATCGTCACTGTGTCTGGATCGGTGAGCTTTGAATTGTTCTGCTTCTCTCCGAAAGGGGAATTGTGTATCAAGTAAACCTCATTCGTGTGACTCATTTCATCTTCGTCTATTACTCAGACCCTGCGGGCCAGAATAATTACACCTTCCAGTCTCAGTCTTGTGGGGGTCAATACAACCCCATCACCGGGATCGAGGAAGGCTTCGTTCACAACGCAACCGGTAAATTGTTCGGCTCTTCGAAAGGCTATATTTGTCCTCAAGGTCAACTCTGTATGGTTTGTTTGAGTTCCTTTCTTCCCCTACTCGTTTTTTCTTGCATAGAAATGATTTATTTAACGAAGCCCTTGATGGTTCGTGTTTTTTTCAGGAAACCGGAAACCCGAATAATGGCACTCAGAGTTTCGATAATGTGGCAGGTGCAGCAATGCAAGTGGTGATCATAGCTTCAGGTGAGTTGCCATCATGATTCATCATTCATAGTGCTCGTGTGATCTTTCCTTTCCTGACAGCATACCATTCTTCGTCGGGGTTTGTGATGTCTAGCCAACACATGGTCAAACATGATGTATAGTCTTATGGACGCAGAGTATTACGCGTCTTGCGCGTTCTTTATCGTCTGTCTCCTCGTCCTCAACTTCTGGTTGCTCAACATCCTTGTCGCTGTGATCACTAATACGTTTGCCGAGATCATGGACGAGACCAAACATTCCGCCTTCGCTGTCAGCTCTGCGTTAGTTGATCTCTCTCTCACTCTTCACCAATTTTTTTCCCCTAGAACCCTGAAAACCGTTGATTGATGGATTTTTTCTTTTGATAGACCTTTGATTACCGGGCCAACAACTGCGGACTCCGCTCCAGATACTCCCAAACTCTCGAGAACTCAAAAGATGAAGCTCAAGCCTGGTTGGCTCAGACGGCTTAATGATAAGCTCTATTACCCTTGGGTCTTGGTTGTCCTTGTTCAATTCTCTTTTCAAGCTAGTCGGAGCTCCTTTGATTCTGCTTGGGCTACTCGTCTAGGTTGGTGCTCTCTCCTCAAAAAAAAAATCTGTCAAGATTTGTTTGTCTGAAATCTTGTTCAATGGTTTGTTAAAAAAACCCCTATAGATCAAATCGAGTCATACTTCACTATCGTTTTCTTGGCCGAGATCCTGCTTCGGTTCGCCGGATACCTTCCTTCATCAACCCGCCTCTTCCTCGAAAGCGGGACTAATCTTGCAGATGTCGGGCTGGCTATTGTCACCAGTATCATTCAAATCCCTTTCATCAAACGCTCAGTCGTCTATCCTTGGCTCACTGTATTCCAGATTGCTCGCTTCTATCGGGTGATTGTCGCTTTCCCTCGAACTGGAAATCTTTTGGTAAGTATCATCCTTTCTTCTGCTGCGGTGACATAATTCATATTGATCATTTTTTTTGTATTGTGGTTATTCATCTTGTCAATCGTAGCAAGGCTTGAGGGGCAGTCTCAACGGTTTGGTTAACATGATCTTGTTCTTACTGGCAATCAACTTTTTTTCGGCCTTGTTTGCTGCACAATATTTGCGTGGACTTATCCCCAAGTCAGACCAGACGGAGATGACGTTTTACTCGATGTGGAATTCGTTCCTGGCCATGTACCAGATCTTTTCGTCGGAGAATTGGACAACCGTGTTGTACTCTGGGATGGCTGCCCAAGCTCCCTACAAACAGGCCTTCATCTCGGGGATCTTCCTTTCGCTCTGGTTCCTGTTCTCCAACTTTGTCTTACTCCAAATGTTTATTGCTGTGATCTCCGAAGGATTTGCGGTGGCCGAGGAACAGAAGAAGAAGGAACAGATCCGGGCCCTCATCAATCGATCTAACCCCAAATCTGAGCTTCCTCCCTGGTTCAAAAGACTCAATCCTTACTTCAGATCCTCTTCTAATAAGTCTCAATTCGGTCATAAAGGAACGGTTACCCTTGATGCTGATGATCTACCTCCTGAAAGCGTCTTGCCCGGTCGCAAGTCAGTCATGCGAAACTTTCTACATCCGAACGATAATCCTAGCGGCAATAAGGGTGATCGTAATCTGGACCTACATAAATCCAACTCGGATCATCGTTCATTTGTCGAACGTGCCAGGAAAGCTTTCTTGTTGGATCCTACTGATGGCCTCTTCTCCGATCCGCACTTACTGAAATTGAATATCACGACCGAAGAACGAGCTAAGGCTGAGGCCGCTCGACAGATGGAGTTTCTCTCAATGAATCCTAGCCAGCGCCAACAGTACTACATCACGTCCAATAACGAAAAGATGGAACGCGAAGCACAGTTCATCAAAGATCATCCGACCTATGATAAAGTATTCTGGTTCATTTCTCAGAGAAATCCGATCCGTAAGGTTTGTCAATATCTGGTTGAGCCCTCCTATGGCGAACGAACGTTTGGAAGACCGGCCAATAAGATCGGCGTGCTCGTGTTCAAGTTGATAGTTTTTAGTACGATCTTGGGTAGTGTGGTGGTGGCAGCTATTGCGACGCCGGTGTACAAACAACATTATTATCTGCTCAATGGCGAGTCGATTTATACCTGGTTCAATCTCTCAGAAGTCATCCTCGGTCTCTTCTTCGTAGTCGAGTTCTTCATCAAAGTCTTGGCGGATGGGTTCATCTTTACGCCGAATGCGTATCTCTTGAATACTTGGAACCGGATCGATTTCTTGGTCTTGGGCACTCTGGTCTCCGATATCACGGCTTCATTAGTTTATGGCGGATTGACGAGTCGGTTCACTCGATCACTCAAAGCGTTTCGGGCCTTACGGATGATCAATCTGACGATGAGCATGCGGGAGACGTTCTACAACGTGTTGATTCTCGGGTTCGGCAACCTGATGGATGCCTCTGTCCTGACGGTCATGTACATCGTCCCCTTTGCAGTTTGGGGCCAAAACCTGTTTGCTGGTCTGCTGTACGGTTGCAACGACTCGAGCTCCTCGATCTCTGAGAAGATGCAATGCATAGGCGAGTATGTCAGTGCTCCGTCGAGCCTCGAAGGCGCCCCGTCCAACTTCAACTTCCTCATGCCCCGGGCCTGGCAGAACCCTTACGTCTACTCCTTCGACTCCTTCCGGACGGCCGTCTCGATCCTCTTCGAGATCATCTCCCAGGAGGGCTGGATCAGCGTGATGACCAGTCTGATGTCGATCACCGGTAAAGATAAACAACCTCAGCAGGACGCCTCTCAATGGAATGCGATCTATAGCTTGATCTATAATTTGTTTGGAGCTACTATCGTCTTGACTCTCTTCCTAGCGGTCATCATTAATAGCTTCCTCAAACGCTCCGGATCGGCCTTCTTGACTACCGAACAACAACAGTGGATCAACTTGAAGAAATTGATCTATCTCCAACAACCCTCTAAACGTCCTAAAGCTAGACCTCAGAACTCAATCAGGGATTGGTGTTATAAGAAAGCTACCCTCAAACATGGCTGGTGGTCTAATATGATGACCACCCTCTATGTTATCCATGTCGGCTTGTTGATGACCCTGGCTAGATCTAATAGTAATACTATGGTTGATGTCTATCGTGGTTCGTATTCATGTCCTTTATATCATCATTAAACGCTGAGCAGAAGAAGATAATTCACATATTGATCCCTCTCCCTCCCCCTCCCCTTTTGTTTTATCCTTGGGATGAACAACAAAAGACGGCGGGTTTTTGGTCCTAGCGACGTTTTATTTAGCGGACGTTTTGGTGGCGTTATTAGGATTAGGATGGATAAGTTTCCAACAGAACGGATGGCGGATCTACGATGTGATTGTGATAGCGGGGACGTTTGGGACGACGATCCCGACGATGATCCTGCCTGGTCAAGTGACGAATGTGACGATCCAGTTCCAGAAGTTCTTCCTCGTCGCGATCGCCTTCAAACTGGTGATGAAGAACAACGAGCTCAACCAGCTCTTTCAAACCGCACTCTCCAGCTTGCCTTCTATCGCTAATCTCATGGGATTGTGGATCGTCTTCTTCTTGGTCTGGGCTATCCTCTTCGTCGAGAACTTCAGTCTCACTCGCGCTGGTCCTACCTCCTTGACTCGTTACTCTAATTATCAAAGCCTGGCTAATGCTCTCGTCATGTTGGCTATTCAGAGTACTGGGTTCGTCCTTTTTCTTCCTTGTTCTTCCTCTCATTTCGTCTTCCTTATGCTCATTTCTTTTTTTTTGTTTTTGTTCTTCTTGACTTTTTAAAAGGGAGGGTTGGAACGCTTTCATGCATGATGTAAGTCTTGTTTTTTTTTTATTTGCTTTATTGTTTCTGGATCTCTCCATTAAATCCTTTTGGAAATTAATCTTGCGACCTTTTTCGTTTTTTTTTTTTAAAAATAAAAATATATAGTACACGATTGAGGCCCCATATTGTGTTTCATCACCGAATTTTTTATTCAACGATTGTGGAAGTCCAGCGGCTGCGTATATCTTATTTATTTCTTGGAATGTGATTTCGATGTATATCGTTCTCAGTCAGTCTCTTTCTCTCTCTCTCTCTCGATTTCCCCTCTTCCCACCATTCCCATAATCCTTCCTAACGTATCCTTTTTTTGTTTTTGGAAAAATGTAGATATGTTTACTGGTTTGGTCGTCGATAATTTTGCTTATGTGTTTCAGTTGTTTGGCAAAGTTAAAGCTATCGATAGGGAGGAAGGTATGCCTACCCTTTCCGATTCTCGTTTATCTCGCTTTCAGAAAAAAAAAACTGGGATGTTTGTATATTGATTTTTATTTTTGTTGACTAGTGAGGAGGTTTAAAGAAGCATGGGCTGAAGTCGATCGAGATCGAACTGGGCACTTGACTCGACATCAATTTATACCATTCTTCTCAGTAAGTAAAAAGAAGATAGGTAAATCGAAGAGGAAAGCTGGATGGATTGATTGATTTTTTTTTATTGAATGATTGGATTAGCGACTAACGGGAGCATTTGATGTGAGCATCTATCCGGAAGAATTGAAGATGAGGAACGTGGTGGATCGATCGACCACTGTTGGTGGAGAAGACGAAACTAAGAAAGGAGCTTGGTCGGTCTCCAGCGAGGTCAATCCTGCGTCCGTCTTAAATGTTGACGAGCTCAACTCGAGACTTGCTACAGTCGATTGGAAAAAGATCGCTCGACGGAAAGAAATGTTTAATTATGTCAGTCCCTCCTCTTCCCCATGTGTGACCGTTCTTTCAAACCCATTTCCTGACTCTCGACTCTTCTCTTTTTTTGGGAATCTAGCTTTATCAAGAAGCCTTACTGACTGAAAAACCTGGCCGAGGGATCTCTTTTAATCGGATGATGTTGTTGGTGGCTCATTACACGTTGATTGAAGATGAACAAGCAATGCAGTCAGTATTTTTTTCTCTCTTTGTTTGCTATAATGATTGTTTTGTCGTCGAGTCATCTGTTAACCAAACAACATTTTTCGGGTGTGTGGGTGTTAATGACTTAGATTACATGAATTACTGGATAGGAAAGCTAAAAAGCAAAAGATTGAAGAAATGGTCAAGTTTGAGAAGATTCAAGGGATCTTGAAAATGGTGGTCGAAAGAAGGAAGTTTCGGAAGACTCTGCGGATGTTTTCAGCCTCTTCCAATCCGAAGCCGACGACTACGATCAGTCCGACCCGATCATCATCTATCTCAAAACATAAGCTTGGCTACTATTGATACTCAACTTCTTCTTTGATACACAAAAAAAAAAAAACAGTCCAATCGACCGTTCGTTTCCCTTCTCTTTCTCTCCGCTGGTTGGGCTTGGATTAGTTATGTGTATGTTGTCACATATGGAATCGGGTTTCGTCAATCAGACCAAGCTGGATCCAGTTCTCATTCATTCATTCATTCTCTCTCTTTCAATTCGTTTTTCAACTCTCACTCGCTCTGTAATATCCCAGCCGTCTTCTCAATCCCTGCCGACCCCAAAATTACCCTTAATGTTCCATTTTCATTCCCATGCATTATCATAGCTTTCTCTAAGAACTAAAAGTACTCATACACTTTCCCCTCAATTTCTTCTTTTACATATATATGCACATACATATCTCTCTCGAGCACCCGCATTTATCTGGCTTCGCTTCAAGTTCTTTTGCTGTATTTATCGTCGTCCCCCTTTTTTCCCCCATTCTCTGTCTCTCTCTCTTTTCTTTTTTTTATATCACTATCTTGTCCTTTGTTTTGTTGTTGTTATTTGAGAGTTCATAATGAGGCTCTTCTCTCTCTTGTTCCAAAATAGATAGATATACACCCATAGATTTCTTTTTTTTTTTTAGATTCCCATCTTTCTCCCCCATGTTTATTATCTTTGTAATTTGAAGACACTCGAGCAAATTCCAATATTGTGCTTGAGAATCCCACCACCTCCATCCACACACACAATCTTATACCTCCATGTTTTTTTTGTTGTTCTTGAGTTGGTGTTGTTTTCCTGGCCCTGTTGATCTTTACATAGACTTTTCCACCACACAAAGGTTCTGTTTTTGTTCTCGTATTAATTTGGTCCTGTTGTGGCTCGATCTCATGGTGCCTTATAAAAACTGTCATCTTGTCTTGATCATCATGAATATAATGGGCTGATCATGTTCATCTATCTCATCATGAACACTTTTCTTTATGGGTTCTTTCTCTTGTCGTGAGCTGGGCTTGTGCAGTATTTATATGGAAGATGGAAATCTAAGTGGGGCCTTTTATAAATCACCAGCTTTTGAGACTCAAAGATTGTTTTCTGATCATCGATAATACAAGCTTGGATATCCCACATTGTTCCCAACCCATGATGTGTCACAAGTGAGAACATTTCACAAAACAGCCTTTGGTTTTGGCGGCTAATTATTGATTGGATTGCAGTTTGGGGGAAAAAAATAGAGATGTCGCTTGATACCCGGGTACCTGCCTCAAAAATCCAATATTTTTGACACCCGCACCTGTACCCGCACCTGCTAGGGCCGCCAGGGCGGGTACCCGGGTACCTGCGCCGGGTACCTGCAGGTACCTGGCACATTTTTGCAGGCAAATATACCCAGAAATCTCACCCTTGAATTTCTGCATGACTTGGTAAATATAAGATTGATATTCACTAGATATATGAGTAAGAATAAAATAAAAATAAAGAAATAAAGAAAAACAAATTATTCTATCACCAATTTGAATTTTATCTTCTCTCTGATCTATCTTTAGCTTTACCCTTTTGCTTGGCCTCATTTGCCTTATTCAATGTCCATTGATAAAGACTGTACACCGTCTTTATGACTGGAGGAATTCCTCCAGTCATCAAGACTGTACACCATCTCAAAGGCCGGAGGGAACCCTCTAGCCTCAACAAAGCAACCAGATTAGTTCAGCAACACATGTAAGACACCAGCTGGTGTCCTACATGGGTTGCTGACACCTTTTTGCAGCCCAACACACCCAAAAAAGGGAGTGTTGGACCACCAATGATAAATTAAATTCTTCAGGGGAAGCATTCCCAGGGCGGGTGTAAGGCGGGTACCCGGGTACCTGCCTTATTTACTGCAAATGTTGACACCCGCACCCGCACCCGGTACCTGTTTCCGGGTACCTGCTTTGGAAAACAGGTACCTGCAAATGGGTACCGGGTACCTGAAAACGGTTACCTGCTGACATCTCTAGAAAAAAATCATACTGGTTTTGATGGATTTAGAATTAGGCCTAATTGTGGTTTGAGGATCCAACATTTTTGGAAGTCCAAAGGTTGCATGGTTGCAGTATCCATCTGAGAGTGCTGATGTGACAAAGATTTCTGGATATTAATTGGACCTGATCATTTTAGTGATGTCTCTCTTGAAAGAACAACATGGACTTTCAGAGCAACCGCATCGGTGCGGGTGTAAGTTGAGGATTAGCGGATTAGCTTAATCCTGGATTACGGCTACTCCGGGTCGTCAACCGCAGCGGTGTGGTGTAAACCTGGGAGTAGCCAGGGGTTCCATGTGTGTTTCGTATGCAAATGGCCCTTAATCCCAGGATTAGTGAGGAGTAACTTTACTCCTACTTAGCTCTAATCCTACCCGGAGTAGAGTTTAGTCCGATTAAATTGAACCCGATGTGGTTGAGGACTCGGATTACTTACGCTAATCCACTCTTAATCCTCGTCCGATGCGGTTGCTCTCAGCATATTGCTGTGACTAGACTGTCATGTTAATTCATGAATATGTAAGACCTGGGTTGGAAGCAGCATAAATACAGAATAAATAATCACAAGTTAATCAGATGGAAGTATAAATTGGCATTCATAACCATGATCAATCCATTTTTTTTTTCAGGTAATTAGGTGAACTATGTAGTACTGATCTCTTCAATTCTCAATCAGTTTTGGGTCTGCTCTTAAATGGCCTAAAAAATCAAATCTGATGACCAAATCAATGAGATCAGGGGTCCAATATATTCTCTGTAATAAAAAGACTTGGATACTTGATTTTGAAAGGTGCATTTTTTACTCAATTAATGGGGCGTTATAACACCTATATTATTTATGCCACTACCAAACCGGGCTCAAAAGCAAGTCCTGCAATACTCCCTAGACAGTTCAGGTTGGTTCAAGAGTAAGGGGGTTCCAGCTTTGTTGAGTTCACAATCAGCAGGTAAACCTTGTTTAAACAAGGCTTTGAGATCCAGGTTTGTCAGAAAGTACATAGTAAGGTTTTTGGGGGGCAGATCCCCTTTATAAGAAGAAAAATCCCACACTTGGGTTTGCAAACTGTTGTCCATAATTGCAAGAAAGCTTTCTAAAATAAGCAACAATTTTGGGCCAACTTGAGCTGCCCTACTAATGTTCATAATCTGAGCAAGATTTGCTTGCTGATGCGTGATGCTTTGCACCCTAGTTTATGGAAACATTGGAGTTGAGGCCCAATGTTACATTCAAAAAGATCAGCTTTTCACAAGGTTCACCACGAACGGTAGAACATCAGCAGTAGCTAGGGCATCTCACCTTCGAGAATTTTGTTGCTCAACTTCACTACATAAATCCCAGTGAAATTTCACTGTGAAGATGTGCACCATGAAGGACGAAGCATAGGTTCGCACTTTCAGACCTGATCAGCAAAGCTTGGATCTTAACAAGGTTCAGTTGCTGATCTTGGATGTGAGCGGTACATGAGCCCCCCAACTCTCTTTTTGTTCACTTGTATCCTTGTAAATGTGTCCTGTAAGTTGAATGAAAGCTTGAACCTACAGCGCAAGTAATCTTATTTATGTGGTATCCAATTCTTAAGGAGCGTATATCCGCCCGAGTGTCTGTATCGTCAATCACATCACTCAGACCATCTCCACCGCAAGCTGCTATCCGAGCTGCCAAATCTCGAAGTTCGGCGACTGCGGCACATTTTTAGCAGCCCACCCCTCGGAAGATTTACACCGCAAGCTGCCAAATATGGCGACTCTGCCTTGTGAAAGCGTCCTCCCCGCCCCCCCTATCCACACCCGATTGGACACAGTTCTCCTACCACAGCCATCCACAACGGGCCATTCAACAATCATTAAAACCAATGGATTCAACACTTTTCTCAGTTTCAGCAATCAAAAATTCCTTTCTTTCATGCATGCATTCCAATTCCTAAACTCTATTTTATGTCATTTGATTTCATGATCGCTATTTAGACTTATACACCAATCTTGAGATGATCATTTAATCCCGAGTTGGCATAGAAAAAAATTGAGAGACTAACAAAAATGAGTGATTAAGCAAATGAAAACCAATAGGTTTCTTCTTTTATCTGGAGTCGGAATTGCTTTTCTGATTCATAAATGTCATTTTTCGAGTCGCAAATGGTTTTAGTTCTACATTTATTTCAGGTCGCAAACGGAAAACAAGCAGACACACACAACCGAGATGGAAAGTAAAAAGAAGATGAAAGGAAAACAAGCAGACAAGAGGTCGGTTTCCGGGTTCTTGAAGGAGAGGGTCAAGAGGCACATTTACTGGTATCGCTGGGGCCATCTTGATGGTTGTATAGTGGTAGGTGATTGCTTTGATGGTGGAGATGTTGGGTGGGTTTGGGGGTGTTTGGTCGTATGGGGGAGATGTGTGCTGTGTTGGATATCGGGGGTATGGGGGAGAGGGTGGATGCAAGAATCACAAGGTTTCTTTGTGATACTCGCGAGGTTGAGCTGCTATCCTGATGCCAAATTTGGTATCGGGATAGCAGCCGAGAGGCGGGTTGCTAAAAATTTTGAGTGTTTAGCAGCCCCGGTGGAGCTGCTAAATTGGGTTTGCGCTGCTAAAATTGGTTTAGCAGCGCGGTTTAGCAGCCGCGGTGGAGATGGTCTCACATGATGATTACCGTCATGATCGTTGATGAGCATCACAAGCTGGTAACATTGGTTGGTTTGCAAAGAGGGGTTTGAACGTTTAAAGAATACAAATCGAGTTACCTATGAACAAGCTCAAAAAATGATCAATCACATTCACGACACAGGAAGCGAGGCACGATCTCTTTGTGGACGTGAGTGAGGTCGCTCGGTGAGATGACACGGGTCTGCTCGACGGTTCATGGACCGCAGGATGGAGCCCCCCTCGACTGTGCCTTGCGGGTTTCACGTGGTTCTGCTGGGGTCGAATGTTCTGGAAGGTACCAGCAAGCACTGGAAAGGCCAGTGTCGATTTTGCTAATCGACCGATCGAGCCGACCCAGTGACTGCGGCGGGTAGCTCGGACTGGGAGGCGCAGGAGTTTTTTTAAGTTTGGTATGCCTTTTCTCCCTCTTGGTCTTTCGCCCCCATCTCTATATCATATCCTGTCTTTCCCCCACCTCTAGTAAAGAAAGAACGAGTTCCTCCCAAAGTTGGAATTGCTCACTCAAATCGATTTCTCGATTCAAGCCATATCTTGTTGAGATAAACATCCCACAAGGATCCAACCAGAAGCCCTGAACCTCCCAACTTGGTCAGTCCCGAAGTCTCACTTGTTTTAGACCGCTACAGTCTTTGTTACCCTCTCACCCGTTTATCGATCTCAATCGGCTGTCTAAACTCCACCTGATATTTCATTCAAATCCTCCCACATTCTCGAGAGATTTCTGCTGACCATTGTGCCTTTGCCTACACATTTCAGCAGAATTTGACTACTTTGTCGCTGAGTTATTTACAGACCATCCTTTTGCCCCTCATCTCTTTTTACGTTCCTGGGAATCTTTGAATCCGAGTTACCAACATGGTCGCCGAAACCGAATACTATGACCGACTGGGAGGTTTGTTACCTCATCATCCCCTGTGTCCCCCATGTGGCAATTTTTCTCATAAAATGATGAATGTTTTGCTGTTCTACTCTAGTGGCACCTAACGTCGATGAAGCCACTCTCAAGAAAGCTTATCGCAAAAAGGTTTTCCCCTCCTCCCTTGCATACTACCGTCCGTTCGAGTGGCTCTCAAACTTATTTTCTTTTTTTTTCTTCCTGTGCTAGGCTCTACAACTCCACCCTGACAAGAATCCTGCCGGAGCTGAAGAGTTCAAAGCCGTCTCAGAAGCCTATGATGTTTTATCCACTCCCGAAAAGCGTGAACTCTACGACCAATACGGCAAGAAAGGTCTTGAAGGTGGAGGTGGTATGGGTGGCATGGACCCCGGAGACTTGTTTTCGCAGCTGTTTGGTGGTGGTGGTATGGTAAGCAATGTTTGAGTAACCGCCACTTGTCCCCAGTGGTAATTAACCCTAGCTCGAATCCATAGTTTGGTGGTCGAAGCCGTACCGGACCAAGGAAAGGACGAGATCTTCAACATCGAATCAAAGTCTCACTGGACGAACTCTACGTCGGTAAAACAACGAAAATCGCCCTTCAAAAGCACGTGATCTGTTCCAAATGTGAGGGCCGCGGTGTTCCCAAGTCGACATCCGTCAAGAGCTGTGTCGACTGCAAAGGAGCTGGTGTGAAAACGATCTATCGTCAGATGGGTCCCATGGTTCAACAGCTACAGCAGACGTGCACTGAGTGTCAAGGCTTAGGCGAAATCTTCAACTCCAAGGATCGTTGCAAAGGTTGTGAAGGTAACAAACTCGTCAAGGAACGCAAAGTCCTCGAAGTTCACATCGAAAAAGGAATGAGAGAGGGGCAGACCATCACTTTTAGAGGCGAGGCAGATCAGGCACCTGGCATCACCCCTGGTGACGTTGAAATTATCATCGAAGAGAAGCCTCATCCGGTCTTCAAACGTAAGGAGGACGATCTGATCGCTGAAGTAGAGGTCGACTTGGTGACTGCGTTGACAGGAGGTGTTATACCCATTGAGCACTTCGATTCGCGAGCCCTGATGATCAAAGTTGAACCTGGGGAGGTGATCAAGCCAAGTGAGCATTTAATCATTTTTAGCTCGAACCCCACGTCTCCTATTCACATGTGCCTTTTTTGATCGGTGAAACCACAGATGCTACCAAACGTGTAACTGGTTACGGCATGCCTTCCGTTCGTTACCACAACCCCGGTGATCTCTATCTGAGCATCAAAGTCGCCTTCCCCGACACAATCCCACCCGAAGCTTGCCCGGCCCTCCAAGCCCTCCTACCTCCACCCCGGCCTCTTCCCACCTGGGGTGACAACATGTTGGTTGATGAAGTCACAATGATCGATGCATCCGACGCCAAGACCAAATCACGCGGCCACGACGACATGGATGAGGATGACGAAGGTGGAGGCAGCGGCCAACCGCATGTCCAATGGTACGTCTTCCAGGCAGTCTTGCCTCTTTTTTTGACTTGCAAGCTAATCGATGTCAACTTTCGATTCTAGTGCCCAACAATGACGAGCGTCTCGTGATACCTATTGGCATATTGGATCCTCTTCTCTCCTGTCTCATCTCGTACCTTGTGTGATGGCCTCAATGTAGCTGTTACACTCGTAGAAATCTCCTCGTTTCTCTCCCCCCCTTCAACCCAAAAAACCCACATATTGTTTCCAGTAATGATTTCAAAATCCAATCCTTCTTTGGTCCTTTTCTCACTCGATTACTACTGTCTAGGTTATGATTTTTTTGTTGATGTTGAAACGAGTTTACATATTGTTCAACCAACGATCTCTGTCTTGAGGATCTCTCAGCTCACTTGATTCTTCTCATTCATTTGATTGGCTATCTATAAGTCTGACTGTGTGGTGTCCCCCTTTTTCATGGGAAGAATTTCGGTCAGTTCACATTTGATAGAAAGAGGTACATCGGCTGTTCTGTATTTGTACTAGTTGTGCAAATTCCGACATGAAATTAGAGGTACATATACTAGAGCTTAGTGGGTACTCTATCTATGTCTCTTCCTGTGTTGAAGACACTTCAGCTGCTGCAGAAAGTTAAGTGTAAGATATATTGCATCTTCCTCCAGATGACCGATTGCCCCCTCTGAATTCAAAGTGTCATGGTGGTAATGACAATGCTGCTGCTTGACATATACCTCCAGTGGTTTGACAAAGTTTCAGCACCATTTCCTGAGGGCCAAGGTTCATTTTTGGTTATATTTTGACAATTGGAATGATAATTGAAAGCAGACAGAAGATTGACAAGACTGGATTCACCAAGAACATAGTATTCTGAGGGAAAAAAAAAACTTCAAGACAAGATGGTAAAGACATAAGGTAATGCCAACAGGAAAGAATCCAATCCTATTCAGAAAACAAAACAAAAAAAACATTGTGCACCCAAAAGCCCAAAGAAAGCTTCTTCATGAAATCTCAAGAAATCCACAAAATGAAAAGAAAATGAGCCAAAGATCAGTAAGATTGACTTGTGACCAAATAAATGAAATTTCAGATAGAAAAATAAGGAGATTTTCTCAAATGTAAAGAATGGATTTATCAAGATTGTTGAAGCTGGGAAAATCCAGTCAAAATGACTTGGATAGGCTTGTATATGATGCTTGTATAAATAAACAAAAAGTTGGCCATTTTTTCATGATGTGGAAATTCATATGTAGGATTGGAGAATATATGTCTCATGCTATATCTGTTTGAACTTTGTTTTTTGTTTTTTTCTTGTTTTATTCTGTAATTTTGGTTTCTTTTTTCTTTTCAGTTTTTTGTTTATTATTATTTGTTCTGCTTGAATTTCAGTCAAAATAAACCTTTGAAATGATGATGTTCAAGTCATTCATGATCTGGTTATAGTCATTCTGTACATCCAACCTGCCTAAATGTTCCTTCAATTCAAATAACATGAGATAGTTACCCAGATTTTCAATTTCTTGATCATGAAAGTATTGTTGTTTAAATTGAGCCCAGATTTCTTTGATTTGATCATCAATTAATTTTGGATCTTGGTGAAGAATTTGATCTTGTTTTTTTCTGTTTAATGCAGCCAGAAGCTTGCTACTAAAAGACATTGCATCAAATTTATCCCAGAATCTGGGGGGTATTTGGATCCCTTCAAACATTTTGTTTCCGTAATTCTCAACAACCCAATCTATAATTGAGAACAGGAAATGGTGCTTCAAGTTTCCTCCAGTAAGTTCTGACCAATCCCCAAATCCAACAAAAAGTTCAACTACCATCTGCAGGATTTCTTTGAATTCATGGGAAGCTGGGTCTTGAGGTTGAGTTTTTCCTTGTTTGTACATTTCTGAAGTTTCTTTCTCATGATTTTCTAATTGATCAATAAAATTCTTGTTTTCAAAAATCAAATTGGTTAAGTAATGGAAATTTTGAGTCAGCTTGGTGCTTAAGTCAACTTCTTTTGTTCTGAAAATCATTTCAGAATTATAATAAATAGGACTTGTGTAGCTTCTGGCTGTGCTCTTGAAAAACATTGATTGGGAGAAATACTTGAAATTTTGTGCTTTGAGGAAGAAAAGATGACCTCTTCTCTTCTGGTTGTCATTCATAACTTTTGTGCAATTGAAGGAGGGAAAAAAATGGATATCCATATGATTAGTCATGCAAGTGGACCAAATGATATGGAAAGTTTGAATCAGAATGATTTGTTGACTTACTTTGAGACATGAATTTCAAACCTTTTCTAGATAGTATGGATTCTAGTGCATATTTACTTGGATAGACTACATAGGCAGATAAAAAATGTACTGAGAAGATGTTGAATATGCAAGTTTCCAGTGCTCCTCCAACTTCAAATAAATGCTGTAAATTAGGCATTGAAATCAACTGATTTTGAAACATGTAATGCATAATTTCAAAGATGTTCTCTTGTAGTTGAATGGCTTTCTGACTAATGTTGATATGAAAATTACTCTTAAGATAATCCAAATCAATATTTAACAGAAGAAAATTCAATCTTTTAACCAAGTCTTCACTGGTACTTTTAATTGAAATTTGAGGTTGTTGCAAAGCCAATTTCAATCTTTCAAAGGAATCTGTTGAAATACCTTTTTCCAGATCAGATTTTGTAATGATGAATGGATCATCCTCCTCAGGATCATTTGAATGTGTTGTGGAAAATTCAAGGCCTTCATTTGTGTATTCCATTTTTATTTCAAATTTTGGGCTGAAGTTGACCATGCTTGATTCTTCCACTCCATACTTCACAAGTTTTTCTTTAACATGTGTAAACATGATTGTATGAATTAGTTGCAATTCTTGAAAATCTGCCATAAACTTCAAATTATTGTGAGGGTCTGCTTTAAATAGCTTTTCAAAAACCATTCTGCCAAATGAGTTTATGTGTTCACTCAAATTCATTAGACCATTGACCATTTTTTCAATTTTTTCTAGGATTCAATGAATAGTTAGAAAAGTTTGTCATAATATCTGAAGTAGTAAGAAATGATTACCTTTGGTTGAATGTTCTATAGATTCTGAGATTTTCAACTCAGCAAAATCCACTATGAGTCTCTTGTTTGAAATTGTTTCCAATTCTGAACCATATCTGAATCTCTTCATACCAATTGTTGGTGTTTCATTTGATCCTTTTTTGATTGGATGATTGTGTGCCTCCAAACCTTGAGATGAGCCATGATGGGCCTGTGCATGATGATCAATGTTTTGGAAAGGTTGAATTTCATTTTGCATTGGAATATTCAATCTTCCTATGTTCAACTGATTCCCCTTCTGTGCCTGAACAATATCTTCTGCAGGCATCATATTGAAGGCAAGACAATCAGAATTCTCACTGGATGCATGTTTCATCCCAGAATCTACAGGTTTTTTTGAGATTAATCAGTCATCAGAGTGCCTATCAGTGCAGGCCTCAAAAGATAGCAATATGAAAAAACCAAAGAAATGATTTCTTACCTACATCCATCATGTTGAAATGGCTGGAATGATATTTTTCCATACATTGAGCTTGCAAAATTTGCAGGGCTAGCAGAACTACTTTTGACAGGTATTTTAATCCAAAATACATGGCAAAAGTAAGGTATTTAATTTAGAGTTCAAAATTGTTCTGGTTGCAAGAGGAGATTTTGCTATATTAGGAATTTGGCAAAAGTCAACAAGGAAACCTCAAATTTATAGCCAAAATTTGTGGAGAATCCATGCAAGTGTTTGGTATAGAAAAATATTACTAGGTGAGTCATGTTTGGAAGAAGATCAGGTGTCTCAAGGGGAAAGGTATCACACCTCAAAATATGCAATAATAATATTTTTACAAGTATTGGGTTTGACATAACTCCCGTACATGTTATCTTGAGGCAAGTGTGATCAAGTTCAGTTCAAGAACTACATTGCTTGACATGTTTGAAGATTCTGTTTTATCAGTGGATGTTTTCTTCTTGTCAATGTGTTTTCAAATACTTCCACAAATGAGAAAGCCCTCTGAGACAATGGACAATATTTGTCTCAATTTCCAAAGACAATACATGTGTATGTCTTGGGAAAGTGAAACAAAACAAGGATTGGTATTTTTTTGTATTCAAATTCTGAGAAAATACACATAAACTCCTGATACCTTCTTGTCTTGTCTCTGTTTCAGTGTTGACATGGCATTGAAAAATGTGGCCTTGGAAGTCAAAGAATTGCAAGCATTACGTTGGTGCACCTGTGTGGATTCAATTCTTCCGCTTCAAGCCAAAGATAATGGTGACATTATCTTTGGCTTGAAGCCAAAGGCAAGGCAGAGCTGGGTGAGCTGCTCTGAGCTACCTCACCCAGCAGAGTACATTTCTAAAATCAAAACCAGAGACAAAGTCTCTGTAGTCCAATGGTTTGCAATGGCCCCAGGATCTGCCCACTCAGCAGGTTGTGGGTTCAAGTCACACTGGCCCCATCCCCTAATGGGGGTTAGGGGCAGGTTTTTGGGGCATGTTTTTGGGTTAGGGGGTTAGGGTTAGGGGATAGGTGTCAGCCATGAGACATGTAGGACATGTCCAAATGTCTGCATTGGCTCATATTTCCATGAGTGAGTTAGTGTAGTGGCTCAATGACCACTCCAAAGGATGGTGTATATATTTATATATGTACCTGAGTCCAAGTGCCCTTGGTTTCTTATTCTATAATTATGGAATAATCAAGTACATATTCTCTCTGTATGTATTTATTGTAATAAGAGTGATGAGTACCAATCAGGATGGAATTAATCATCTCTCTCTGTATTGATTCACCAAGAGAAAGAGATGATGTCAGTTCCTCCCCTTTTGGTTTAATCTTAATTTAAATACATATTTTGATCATTCATGATTTATATACATAAATGATCATCTGTAGGCCTCACCGGTCTCACAGGCAGATTGATCCCTGCCTTTGCAATACTTAAGGGGAAAGCTTTCCCTCTAGGATTCCTTCCCCCAGAGATTATTGCCATACAAACCCGTTTACCTTACTTAACATTAGTGAGTGGGGTTTTAGCAGTAAACTCTCCCATTTCTCTTTACCTTTTATCTTCATCCTTATTCTACTATCCTAGACTACAGTTAAGTCACTACTGTAGTCTAGAAAAGAGTCATTGTACCACTCTGAGCTCAGGCGCGGTGATGCTCATTCCACTGTTGTCCCCTCTAACCCAGGGAGCTAACCCCTCTGCTTTCTAGCGTTGAGGTGAGGTTTTATTTCTACTGGCCTTACAAGGCTATAGTAAGACCCATTACCCCATCAACGCCTGGTCACATAAGAGACCGGCGCTGACAATTGGGGGTCTGGCCGTGTTCTGTTCTGAGACCGCCATTCCTAAATACTAGACTACCATCCGTACCATCGATACGAATTCTCAACGTGTATCTTTCCTTCTGTCACAACAGATTACGTTCTCATTGGCTGTTAAACATACAGTAAACCATTAGTATCTCAAGCTTTTTCACAACAGTTTTTGTTGAGAAAATTTATCACTATCGACTCACCTCCTCCTTTAGCTTCAACAAATTATCTCAAAGGTTAGATGATCTTTGTTCATCGCTCATCGTACAGGCCCGACCTGATTCCAGAAGTTTC